AAAAGAGGTAAAATATATATAACAAAATGTTTGCCATTCCAACCATTTTTACACGTACAATTCAGTGACATTAATTACTTTCACCATGTTGTGCAACCATCACCACTATCCGTTTCCAATTTTTTTTTCATTGCCCTTAACAGAAAACCCTTAGGCAACACCTCCCCATTTCCCCCTCTCAGTGCCATAGCTGACTTTTTTGTTCAGTTCACTTTTTCTTTATTTTTGGAAGAAGCTATTTTCTGTAGGGATAGATGGGTTTAAACTTTATAAAGCTAGTCAGAATGCTTTCCGTTAAGGGCCATCCACTTCCTGTCTCATGCCTAATAGATTCTTTTGGATTTTCTTTGATTCTTCCATTAAAAAGCCTGGGATGACCACGCTGGAGGATTCTGTTGAGGTGGCTGTGTTGCAGAGAACAGGCAGCACATGTGCTGTTTTAACCACCTACCCTGTTTCACTGAACTGCATGCTTGCCTCCCTCCATTTTGTCTGTGCTCACACATTGTGCTTTTCCTTCTCTTTCCAACTCTCTTCTATAGAACTTGTGTTTGAGCAAAAGACTCCATTCCAGATCCATTCCAGAGTTGCTGTGAGAAACTTCTCCACTCTCTTTTCCTATCTCAGTAAAATGGCAGTGTAAGAAAGCTTTATGCAACCAAAAGCTGAAAGAAAGATCCATCTAGAATATGTGGTTTCCCGTCTGATATTCTTTTCTACCCTCAACGTTTCGGATTTTCCCCTCGTGAAAGCTTTACATGTGTGAAATTTTCCTAGTTTGCTTTTAAAGAACAAAAGAAAAGCGGCCTACGCTGGTTCAATATGCGAAGTCAAAGATGACAAGACTTCTGGTACCTAGGCAATAGCCTTCAGTGTTAAGATTGTGACCATATCTTTCCTTGGTAATATTGTTGGTACTTAGCCCTTCAAACCTAAAAACAGCTTCATGTAATAAGTACCAGGTACAAACTGTTAAGTTCTCTTCTGATAGGCTACTCTGTGGCTTTTAAGCTTCTTTACAAGCAGATTTTTTTGTATACTGTTTTTGTATCTGTTGGTGAAAAATCATAATTCCTGATCCATCCAGGGTTTTGTAAAATTCCAAGTCCCCCCCCCCTTTTTTTAGGATACTGTTATTAGTTTTACTTTGCTTTCCCCAAAAGAAGTCAGCAAGCTCATCAGTGAGATTGGTGGATAAGGGGAGTATACATACTAGAATGTGGAGTTAGGACCTTATTATTATTATTGATGTTAGATTGACCCTGAGTGTTCTGTTTCCATTTTATTTGAAACCTGCCACAAATTAGCCTGGGTCTTTATTTATGTTTGATTTTAGTTTGGGGGGAGGTGATGCTGAGAGTAGTTTTATTTTATATTGGTAGAAAGTAAACTAGTTCACTTATACCTAAGTGTATTTTTTTCCATAGCTGTCCTTCTTGTGGGGAAAAAAAAAAAAAAAAAAACTTATTTGAAATTAACATTTCAAAATTATGTTCCTTATCATTATTCTGAAATGTAAATTAACTCAAATTGTTTAAGACTTCGGAATGGGTGAAAAAGGATTTAGAAAAGCAGATTTCCCCTCCAAGCTCGGTGTATCCTAGGTTGCTCCTATAGGATTCTAAGTCCTTGGCAGGCACAATTTTACCGCGGATGGCTGTTCAGTGCCGTTCAGCTTCCATTCCATTTTTCTCTGTGATGCTCCAGTTCGTACTTTACAGCTTCCGCCTGGGAGCCGGTAACAAAATGAATTGCCTGACTCTCGCTTCAATCCACTTTCCTCCCTTAATATGCAGCCCAAAGTTTTTCAGCTCGCTGTCAGATGGTTGTGCTAGACTTTCACACTGATCCCAAAGCCTCCGCTGGGGCTGTTTCTTACCACGGAGTTACAAACTTTAAGAAACAGCTCCAGAAGGAAATCCACGCCAGGCTTTGAACTCTGCTTCTGGCTTCCGTCAACTGACAGAGTTGCCCTTTTGCTCAAACTCGCAGCTCCAGTTCGCACTTGGGAGAGCTCTGCTGGGTGTCTGCTGCTTTGGTGCGGTGGGAATTTGTGTGGGGGCTACAAACCGGCGCTCCAGAACTTAACCAAACCCTCACTTGGCTCCCTGGGCTTAAAAGATGTTCCCCCAAAAGGATTGGGGGAAGAAAGGAGGCTTGAGAAGTAGAACCCGATCTTTTCTTTGTTGAGTTTTGTATTTCTGACATTTAGGGGAAGCAAACAGTGAGAGAGGAAGGGCTGTCCTTCCTACAAACATATCCTTTTCTTAGCAAACCTTCCAGGCCTCATTTCCACATTTTACAGTTGGCTGTGCGGATTTTAATAGGTTGTTCCCTTGTTCTGAGGCCCAATCCATGCACACTGTGCAGCCGGGTAAAATGAGAGCACATCCTCTGCCATTTTCAGCCGGTTTGTCCTGGCAGCCCTGCCCCCCTTCCTGGGCTGCAGCAGCCGCTGGAGTTATTGCTGTGCGCCTAGAAACTCCGCCGGATCCTCGCGGCCTCAGATCCAGTACACATTTGCCAAGTGCCGTGCGGTCGGGGATGGTGATAAGAACTCTCCTGTGAGGGAGAGCGAGCCAGACTTTAGTCCGGTTTCCATGTCAACGATTCAGTCCATATTTGCCATCAGGCTGTAGGTGGCAAAGGCACTTTCGTGAGGGTAGCGCTGCCCAAGTCCTCGTTCTCCAATCTGCGCCGGGATTCCTGAGCTGCCTGGGTGTGGGGTTAAATGGCAGAGGCCGTTGGGGAGAAAACTCCACAGAGGGGAGGACCCACAGCCCCAAGCCGGGGTCTCACAGCTCGGGCCAGCCACGTGCCTGACTCCTCCCCTCCCCCCGTTCCCGCTGCTATTGCCGCCTGAGAGAGCTGATGGGCCAGTTTCTAAGAAAGTTCTCTTCCGCCCGGCTGTCGCTGGGATGGTGGCGTGGGGCTCCAATGGTAGAGGTGGAAGAGGACCCTAAAGTATTTAAGATTAAAAAAGCAAATAAAAGGTGGCAAAGGTGAAATCCCACCTGCCCCAACTCACGTGGATAGATTTTAAGCACTTTACCTTATTATAAGAAAAATGGTGGCTATTTTCAAAACTGTACTCACGGACAGGGAGCTCTGGTAGCCTAGTGCCTAAGGCACTTGACTGCTAACCAGAAGGCTGGCGGTTCAAACCCTCCAGCCACTCCTCGGAAGGAAGGTTGGGCAATCTACTTCTGTAGTGATACCACCTTGGAAACCCAAGGAGGGGTCGCCAGGAGTTGGGTCCGATTCCACGGCATATAACAACAACAACAACGACCCACGGATAGGGAGAGGGGTTTTGGCTCTTTGCGTATGTCACAGACCTTGAAGAAAGAAGATGAAGTCTTCCTTTGGAGACAAATCCATTCTGCCTTCCAGGTTTTCATAGGTTTCTCATTACATCCGAACTCTGAGGCAAATGGCAGGGTAATTGCATGTAAAAAATTCCTCATTTGTGTGCAGAACTCAGGACTGTTTGCCAGCACAGAGGCAGTTGACTAAATAGCCAAGCTCCATTTTATGAGGCAGCCTATAATTTGGTTTCTAGGCCCTAACGCACCAGGAGAGTTGTTGCCCCTGAGGACTGTGAGTGAAACGAGGGCACTGGCCCATTCCAGACAGTCAAATCTTGGTAGGCCTTTTGATTCTTGGCTTGGAAAATTAAAAGAAGACAGTGGTTTTGTTTCTTGGATCTGCCTACTCTAAGATTAACAGGAAAATTTTGCCATTTGAGGGGGCAGACAGGACACTCTACATTAGTTTTCTTTGGTTCAGGCTTTTGTAATTATTTTCATTGACCAGGGAACTGCAGAATCTGGGATGATAATGGTCTGTTGTCATGAAGTCTCCATTTACAAAATCTGACAGAAAAAGAGATGTTGGTGTCTGATGCTGCTGGCCTGGGCGTCCTAATGCAGTCCTGGGCCTGAGTGAGGAACTGGAATACCCTCTGGCTTTTGTAGCCTGTCATATCAGAGCATTCCAACTCAGTTTGAGGAGGAAACAGCAGCTGCTGGGATTTGGTGGGTCTGTAGATCAGGACACCACCACTAGAGTTTTGTATGTGTATCTTTATTTTTTCAGATAATCTGCCCTTATACCCAACTCCTGCTAAATTGAGGTCCATCGGATGCATTACTAAAAACTTTAAAGATCGTTTATACTGGGTGGGCTAGACAACAAATCTGGGTTGCATCCGCTTTCTAGGTGTTCTGTTAGACGGTGCCTATGGTTCTATGGTCTTTACAAGGTGCTCTGGTGGTGTTGTGCCTAAGGCACTTGACTGCTAACCAGAAGGCTGACAGTTCAAACCCACCAGCCACTCAGAAGGAAGATGGGGCAATATTCCAAGTGATACTGCCTTGGAAACCCAAGGAGGGGTCGCTTTGAGTCGACAGCACATAACAACATGGTCTTTACGGAGAAAATGGTTTTCCTTCTTTGGCCATCCCTCTTCTGCAGTGGTTTGAACACTCAGGTTCCTCCAGTATCAGGAGCCTCTTCTGTGGGCTGTTTAGTCTTACAGGTGCTGTCTTTGGAGACTGGAGCTATTGTCTTTGTGGCCTGAACTTTCTTAGGAGGCAATCATGGGGCTTAAATTCTGCTACTGCAAGTCTATTATATGCCCCCACAGCAACTTCAGTGGGAAGCATCTTAAGTCAATTGTGAGCTGACCAACTTTGATCTTAAACCCAATCTGATATTCTGATCCTATTGTTGGACTTGCTCACTACTTGACTGTATTCTCCAACCCCCCCGCCCCCCAAAAGGCTAAGTAGACAGGAGGCAGCCTTGGAGACCCCACTTGTTTTTAAAGCCACATTCTTCTGCCCTCTGACTTTAAGTGACCCGAGGCAGGTTCCCTCCCCTTTAGGTCTTTCAATTCTGTAAAATGGGGATAATCCGGATCCTATGCCCCCAGGGCCTTGTCTGTACTGACTAATGAGGGCAGGGGGGTGGGAAAGCAGAGTCTGAACAATGATCAGTCATTTCTTTCGGCTTGCAAAGAGCGTAAACTGCACAGCCTTGCTTGCTCACTCAGCCGGGTCTTTAGACCGGGTTTTTAAATGACTTTGAAGAAAAGTGCTGTAGAGGTGCTAAGTGGCAGCCAAGAGGCCAGGCTCGCTGCCAGGGAGTCGGCCTGGGCCGAGGCGGCCGCGGTCTCTGGCTCAGGCCAATTTTGCAGCCGCGAGTAAAGTTCACGCTGCCCGCTGCTCCCCTCGGTGCGGCCGTGGGGCCGCCAGGATACAAACTCCGGGAGGGAGGCGGCCCAGGCTCCGAGAGGCTAGAGCTCCGGGACGGGTTTTCCCTGAAGCCTTCAGTGGCGGCGCTGTCGAGCGAAAGCGGCAGAGAGACTGCCGCCGCCGCCGCGGCTAGTTCTCTTCCCCTCCTTCTTTGTGAGGGTAAGAGAGCGAGTCCGTTCCGCGGCCTGCGTCCGCTCCGTATTCCACTCCGGGTTTGCCAGGCGGCCGCGACGGTGCTGGGTAAAATGGCAGTGCTGAGCCTCGTGTCGGAGTGAGGGGGACTCGGAGGAGAGTGGGGCGCTCTAGCCGTTCAGTCCCGCAGCCCGTCTTCCCGCCCGCCCGCTGCCGCGCAGCAGCTTCGGCCACAGCTGCGGCCGAGGAGGGGAGGCAGGGCGCCCGGCCAGGCCCTTGCTCCGACTCTGCCTCCCGGCGCCCGGGCTGCTGCCGCGCGCCCTCCAGCCCGCCCGTCCCGGGTCCCCCTCCCCCCGCTCCCTCCCTCCCCGCTCCCCTCCCCCTCGCCTCCCTCCCTCCCTCCCTCCTCCTTTCTCCGGCAGCAGAAAGCGGAGAGTCACAGCGGGGCCAGGCCCTGGGGAGCGAAGCCTCCACCGCCCCCCTCATTCCCAGGCAAGGGCTTGGGGGGGAATGAGCCGGGAGAGCCGGGTCCCGAGCCTTCAGAGCCGGGAGCAGCTGAGCCGCCGGCGCCTCGGCCGCCGCCGCCTCCTCCTCCTCCGCCGCCGCCAGCCCGGAGCCTGAGCCGGCGGGGCGGGGGGGAGAGGAGCGAGCGAGCGAGCGAGCGCAGCGCAGCAGCGGAGCCCCGCGAGGCCCGCCCGGGCGGGTGGGGAGGGCAGCCCGGGGGACTCGGCCCCGGGGCGGGGTGGGAGGGGGGGAGAAGACGAAGACAGGGCCGGGTCTCTTCGCGGACGAGACAGCGGGGATCATGGCCGCGCAGGTCGCCCCCGCCGCCGCCAGCAGCCTGGGTAACCCGCCGCCGCCGCCCTCGGAGCTGAAGAAAGCGGAGCAGCAGCAGCAGCGGGAGGAGGCGGGGGGCGAGGCGGCAACGGCCGAGCGCGGGGAAATGAAGGCAGCCGCCGGGCAGGAGAGCGAGGTCCCCGCTGTGGGGCCGCCGCAGCCGCTGGGAAAGGAGCTGCAGGACGGGGCCGAGAGCAATGGGGGTGGCGGCGGAGGAGCCGGCGGCGGCGGGCCGGGTGCGGAGCCGGACCTGAAGAACTCGAACGGGAACGCGGGCCCTAGGCCCGCCCTGAACAATAACCTCACGGAGCCGCCCGGCGGCGGCGGTGGCGGCAGCAGCGACGGGGTGGGGGCGCCTCCTCACTCGGCCGCGGCCGCCTTGCCGCCCCCAGCCTACGGCTTCGGGCAGCCCTACGGTCGGAGCCCGTCCGCCGTCGCCGCCGCCGCGGCCGCCGTCTTCCACCAACAACATGGCGGACAACAAAGCCCTGGCCTGGCAGCGCTGCAGAGCGGCGGCGGCGGCGGTGGGGGCCTGGAGCCCTATGCGGGGCCCCAACAGAACTCGCACGACCACGGCTTCCCCAACCACCAGTACAACTCCTACTACCCCAACCGCAGCGCCTACCCCCCGCCCCCCCAGGCCTACGCGCTGAGCTCCCCGAGAGGCGGCACTCCGGGCCCCGGCGTGGCGGCGGCTGCCGGCTCCAAGCCGCCTCCCTCCTCCAGCGCCTCGGCCTCCTCGTCGTCTTCGTCCTTCGCTCAGCAGCGCTTCGGGGCCATGGGGGGAGGCGGCCCTTCAGCGGCCGGCGGGGGAACCCCCCAGCCTACCGCCACCCCCACCCTCAACCAACTGCTCACGTCGCCCAGCTCGGCCCGGGGCTACCAGGGCTACCCCGGGGGCGACTACGGCGGCGGGCCCCAGGACGGGGGCGCCGGCAAGGGCCCGGCGGACATGGCCTCCCAGTGTTGGGGGGCCGCGGCGGCGGCGGCGGCGGCCGCCTCGGGAGGGGCCCAACAAAGGAGCCACCACGCGCCCATGAGCCCAGGGAGCAGCGGCGGCGGGGGGCAGCCGCTCGCCCGGACCCCGCAGGTACACAGTTCAATGGGGAGGGGGCTGGGGCAAGCAGGGTCCTGGGGGTGGGTGGCGGCAGCGGGGAGCCGGTCACAGCCATGGGCTCTCCCCAGTCCGGGGCCCCCACTGCTGGGGAGCTGCCATTGTCTGGCTCTTCTCTCTTAAAATGGCTGCCTGTCTGCCTTCCTCTCGTTCCCTCCTTCAGTCTTTGTGTGGGGCTTTCCCAGAGCTGTCTGCTCCTCTTCTCCCTCTCTCCTGGGCACTTCGAACTCCGGGGGTCTTCAGGGGAATGCGGGGCAGAGTGTGCGGTGGAAGGGCCAGGCCCGGGATGAGGGGGTGCTGGGGGCTCAGGTTAAGGGTGTATTTGATGGCAGGAGCTCGGAAGTTGAACAGTCCTTTGCTCACCTGCCGCTCCTCTCTGCCCCCCTGGCTTTTTCTAGGCTGTCCCTCATCTGTGCTTTCAAGGAAGGGCCCCTCGGACTCGTGGGGACCTCGAGGGAGGGCAGGGGCTTGCTTGGGGGCAGCTAGAGGCCAGCTGCGGTTCACCCAGGGCAGCCCGGGCCATCTCCTGTCTTGGTCTCCATCGGCTCAGTGGCCTGGGCTTCTCCCTGGAAGTGCTGGTAAACAGCTGAGTGATTGGAGTAGTAAGTGCAGATTGCTTTGGTTTGGGATTTGAATTATGGAGGTAAAATCCTTCTGTCAAAGCCAGGAGACAGTTGGTCTTAGGTTGACATCCTATCTGTGATCTGATTGGCTCCCCATCTCCTGCTCTTGGCCATTTATAATTGCCTCTGATGTAATGGTACAACAATCCTGATGAGCTCATAAACTTTTACACTCTGCTTTTCTGCCAGTGATAACCCAAACCATCACTGCCACTATCTGCCTTTTATTCCAGAGCTGAAATTGGCTGTGACCTTGAGGAGGGAGGTTTAAACAGCAATACTGTATCAGCAGGAGCAGAGCCCCAGACAGGCTGCCCTTGTTACATTGTACCCGAAACAAAAGAGGAGGCAATGGCATTTTGCTTGTACCTTGGATTTATTTTGCTTGTTATGTTTTATGCAGCCTGAAATAGATTCTGTGTTGTTAGCACAGTAGCTGAGTTTTTCTCTACAATGGGTTTGCTGTTTGTTTTGGTTTTGTGACTTTCCCGATGGTATAAATGACTTCTTTGATGGCTCTGAAGATGCATTTGAATTGAGTAATTTTAACCCTGCTCGCTTTGCAGAATTGAAATTATTTTACTGGGCTTTTTATTAAGTGGTGAATGTGGGATCTTTATTGGGGGAGGATGGAAGAAAACTTAATTTTTTTAGAGAGCTGGAAGCTGAGAGAGAATTTCATATTCGATTCAAGTGTTCTGTTTTAAGGAAGGCGGGCCCCATTCTTTGTTTACATGTTGAATCTTGTTAACACTTTCTTTTGTTAATTGAACTTTGGGAGAGCAGCTCAATTTAAAGGGAAGGAAATGTCTTGTTTCATAATTGAGAGACTTTGTCCTAAAGCCTTGGTTTGGTGGCTTTTATCATTATTCTTAGAATATCAAAAGGCTAGTTTTTTATTTTGTCATCAGTTATTTTAGAGCTTTGAATTTTTTCTTTGCATTCTAAGGTATGTTCCATTTTCTTTTTTCTGTATTCTAATATATAAAGATATGATACTTAAGATTTACATTTGCTTAGACGTTACAACTTCTAGGTACCTTTTTATACGTTGTTTTATTTTGCTCTTTTTTCTTCTTCATCATGTTTTGTCTTCATGGCTTTGGTCAGGAATAGAGGGTACACTGTGAACCCATGTATATTTTCAAAGGGGGGAAAAATGCCTTTCATACACCCTCTCCCCAGCAGTAACCAGTTGTACCTTTGTGCAAGGAGGAGATTTTGTTCACTTACATGATCTAATTAGCTACATTACCTCCCTCTGCTAGAAATACTTTTTTACTCTTCCATTGAGTTTGGAATTTTGAAAATAATCGTATTGGATGGCAGGCTTAGAGCTCTTACCTTTACTTCATGTGAAAAAAATAGGGAAATTTTAAGTTGTATTTCTATTGTTAGGAGGGTAAGTTTTGTCTTAGGAAACAGAACTTTCTTTTCTGTTCATTCTGTATTCTACATGTCTTACCTCCCTTATTTATTTTTTGCTGAGAACTTAACCCTTCTTGAAAACTATTAAGAAGAAACAATTTGTGGGTAAACCAAGGCTCATTTAAAACCTCGTTAGATTTGAATTGTGCTGAGTTTTGGGGATAGGCAAACTTTATTATTGTTGTTGTTGTTATTGTTACGATTATAAAACCAACTTTTGCTGTTAGTGATTTTTTTGTCTTTCAGTTATTAAACATTTAATTTTTGTGTTAGGCACTATGCTGTATCCTGGGTAAATGGTAGAAAAATAAAGTCTCTATTTAGATGCCTGTGTGTGGTGCCTTTGGATGTGTTTTCCGATTTCCTTTTAAGACCCAGGCTTACTTCCCCACAAAACATAGATCCCTTCTGCTCAATCTTAGTTCACATGCCACTCCCCTAAGACCTGGGAATGTGCTGGCTAGCATTTGATTGTGGAAGACACCATGCAACTTCAGTTTTGTGAGTTGCTTCAGGTGTGTGGCACTAGTGTAGATGAGGGTTGTAGGTGGATGGATTTTGTTGTGAATTTCTCTTGGCTATGTGAGGCTAAACCTCATCAGACCATGATGCCCTGCTCTTAAGTGTTTTTCATAAGGTCTTGCTCAGTCTCCTTTTTAACTTACCTGGTCCTGGTTTAAGAATATTTTGCGGAGACTTGATTGACACAGCTAAAGTTGTAATGCTTCATTTGAGTCGTCTTTTATGAAATAAAGATTAGGTGAGTGTGTGTATCATAGCTATGTGTTTTTCACAGGAGCTGAGAAGATCCCAATAGTCAGACTTTTCCTTTATCCCTTTCAGTATGCAATGTTGTATCTTAAGGTGTTGAATCTTGCTACTAATGAAATAGTTTTAGGTCACCTATGCACTTGAACCCTAAGAGGCTTTTTATTACTTTTAATAAAGTATGCTTTCAGTAGTAGTACCTGGAGACCCACCCAGCTCATCAAGGTAAAAATACCATACAATAAGCAGTCCACAACCACGTTAGATTTGATAATAGAAGTTTGGCTGTTAGTTCCTGCTGTGGAAATATCAAATGACATTTCTGACTCCTGGAAACAAACACAGGAATCCTGGGTTTATTGTAGGAATGCGTACTGGCAGAAATTCTGGGCTGGCTGAAATACTGGACTCTTGGAGCTCTCTCAAGTAGAAGGGATTAGGAAAACTACACTGAGATGGTGCTTTTTAGTTGCGGGGCCTCTGGTGTCCATGAGACAACTAGGGGTGATGAGGATTGGGATGGTGATGCAAGAAGAAAGTGGACAGGTCCAAGATTGACTTCTTATATATTGGGCCCTGTAAGGACTTTTTAAGGTTACTTCCTTTGTGTGTGACACAGTATCCATGACAAGCAGCACCTGCTGTAACAAGATGTCTTGGATTGCATTAAACATTCATATGTTGAATTCACTCCTGTAGGGTGTGATGTCTACTATAGGCCTTTTGCAAAGAGGTTAGTGAACTGTTCAAAATGTTGGGAATAGGCTAACAAAGTGTTCCTCCACCCCAAATGCTGTATTACTTGGCTTCAAATCCTAGAACTGTAGAAGCAACTGAAGCATGAATGTAAATATGGTTA